CAGTTTTGTATGAGGGAGAGGAGCCAGGGAGATGGCTCAGTGGAATAAGTGCTTCCTTGGCAAGCACAAGGGCCTGAGTTCAATCCCCAGTTCCAAAAAAAAAAAAAAAAAAAAAAAAAAGGCAATTGTAGGAGGGAGAGAGACACCTGGGTCTGGGGTTGGGAACTGATGCAACAAAGATATGCCCTTGCTTTTGTGTGGGCATCATGCACACAGAGTTAGGAGCAGGCCACTCCTCTTTTGGTCATTCCTTGTTTTCTTTTGAGTCAGGGCCTTACTATTTATCCTGTGCTGGCTTCAAACGTGGGACCCTCCTATCTCAGCATCCTAGTCACTGGGATTATAGCCACCCACCACTGTGCCTGGCCACTTCAGTTTTTGAAGGACTGGGTCCATCGCCAGAGTTGAAAACTTTGTCTCTGATGTGGATTCTGAGGAAGGAAAAAAAAAACTATTCTGTCATAGTTTGGGGGCCTACTCAATGCCTAATTAGCTCCTGCTGTGGCAATTTTGGGGCAGCAGCAGCATGGGCAGACAAGCTATGCATGGGTCAGGTGAAGGCCAGCACGGGAGCTGGACTACTGAAGCCCAAGAAGGAGGCGTGTTTGAGCTCAGCACAGAGGAGCCCATGTCCTTTGAAGGCTGTGTGAAGTAGCATTGAAGCTGGAGCAGCAGCAAGGTCACCACCCTGGCACATCAGCCTTGGAAAGGGCCCTGTGGGGGACAAATCCTCAGGCAACTGTTCTCTCCTCCTAGGCAGTGGGGATCAGATGAATCCTCTCTTGGGCCAATAGCCCCTCTGGAGCAAGATACTGGACTGCCTGGGTCTAGCAGATGGGGAAGCAGAAAAGGGATTTAAATTAACCTCAGGAAACAAGCTGAGTATCTAACTGTGCAACAATTCATAGTAGTCACTAGAAGAGAGGCTCAGTATTCCGGAACCTGAGTTTGCACTAGTATCTGAGCCTTCATAGAATTAAAGAACTAGACGTACTAGGCAGATTGGTAGCATTTCCCCAGGACGCTTGGATCTCACTGGCCTTCTAGTTGGGTGATGATGTCCCTACCCACCACCTCATAGTTGTGGAATATCTTGAGGTGAGTTACAGTCCATCTTCTTTGTATGAGAATCTGCACTAGGAATCTGGGATAACAAGGGGATTTTCCAAGAATGCAGCTTCTGGAAACTTCAGAAGAAACAATGTGATCTTTGGTGTGAGAAGTTAAAGTGAAACGCATATCCCAAAGACTGGGATGTTCTCAAAAATACAATTTTGTGGAGGCTTGGGGGTGGAGAGAAGCTAGTTACTGAGTATAGGGGTACAACTGATTGGAGGAACAACTTCTGTGGTAGAGGGGGTTGAATTAAGGGCTTTCATACTGAGCTACATTCCAGCCTTTTTTTTTTTATTTTAAATTTTGAGACAAGGTCTCACCAACTTGTTAAACTGCCTAAGCTGGGGTTGGATTTGAGACCCTTTAGCCTCAGCATGCCAGAGTGAATTTTTGATGTTTTCTCACCCAGTAGGATAACTACAGTTGACAACAATTAATTGCATGCTTCAAAGTTGCCAGTGAAGATTTTGAATGTTCCCAATGCAATACATATCGAAGGTGATAGTTGTGCCACTTACCCTGGGCTCCTTATCACTCAGGGTACACTGTGTTGATATACCACAAGCATATAAATTATTGTATGCCAATTGAAATATTTTTTAAAGGTTAAAAAATGGAGTCTGACCTACTCCTTGCGGACAAGCATTTTATTGTTTCATGGAATCCCTGAGAAATTGTCCGCTCGCCCATAGAAGCTGGAAGTGGCTGCCTGACACTCGGAGTGTCCTTACTTCCCCCTGGGGGTGGCTGGGGCAGGCACTGCGCTGCTCCCGGGACTGTGTGGCTGGCACTCATCTCTCCTAGCCCTCTCTCTTCCCAGTTCCTGGCCCAGCTCATGGTGTTCCTGATCAGCTTCATCAGCTCTGTATTCTGCGGCCACCTGGGCAAGCTGGAACTGGATGCCGTCACACTGGCAATTGCGGTAGGTAGGAGACTTGCTAGTGGCTGAGCGAAAGCTGCCTGTTGTATTTACCTGTTTCTTCCTGCTTCTGTAACAGGTTAGCACAACTGGGTGCCTTAAAACTATCTCAGTGAAGCCTGAACTGGGTTTCACTGGGTTTAATGTCAAGATGCTGCAGGACTGCAGTCTTAAGTAATTCTCCTTTGCTGTGTGACCGCAGGTTCCAAGGTTCGAGGGGTTAGAATGGGGACATCATTCGGGGGTGTTAGTCTGTTGGCCACATCATGTGACTTATAATCTGTGGAGCTCTGATTCCTCTGTGGTCCCATATCTGGGGGAAGGAAACTGTAGGAGGGGACTCAAAATCTGCCATTACCAAGAGGAACCAGCTCATCCATGCCCCACTCCTGTCAATCTCACCGAACCCTAATCTGGGCAGGGCATGGAATGGTGAAGGCCTAGATCCAAATCAGTGTCCAGAATAGTTCCTGACCCTCAGAGCTGGAGGACAAAAAAATTTAAAAACACAAGAAGGTTGTGTGATAACCCTACCTAGATTTTTTGTCCCTTGCAGAATTTGTGTGTGTCCTTCAAGGTAGGCCCAATGAACATAAGCAGGGACTCCAGGCCTTCACACAGGTGATTAAATCAGCTTGTTAATGCTGATGGAGGAGCACGGCACAGTAGAGAGCCGGCCTTCCTGTCCTTTCAACTCTGGCTTATTTGGTTTATCTCCAGATTATCAACATCACTGGCATTTCTGTGGGACATGGCTTATCTTCTGCTTGCGACACCCTCATCTCCCAGGTAAATGGAAGTGGCCACATTTTCACAGCAGCCCCAGACATCTCCTGAAAGTAGGTGGAAGGAAGGACCCCACTACTAGGAGGGAGAGTCAGCCCTCAACTTCAGCTCTCCTTACCTGCATTCTTTGCAATATGAGTGGGTTTCTTTCAGCCTTGCGAGCTACTGTAGGTCTGATGACTGCTCTGTACTACATTTTAACCAAGCAGGGGACAGTTTGTGAAAGTTCTTCCTATCACTCATGTTTTAGTTGCTGTAGTCTCGTGGTTCTCACACCTGAGCCTGCATCAAAACCCCTCGAGGGCTTGTCACCTGGGCCCCCGCTCTGGGTGATGCTGGGTGTTTAACATGCTTGCTGAGGAGAGGCGGGCAGGAGTGGGAGGGAAACATTCTGAGTTGTATACTGAGGCTTTGTCCCTCAAGGTGGGGTGACAGACCAACTCACCTCTCCTAAGCTGAAGATAGTTTTAGTCAAAAATTCATTCAATATACTTAACCTACGAAACACCCTGGCTTAGCCTGTGGAAGATCCTGGCTTAGCAACAGAATATTGTAGTGCATCAGCGGTTCCCATTGTGATTGGGTGGCTGCCTGGGGGCTGTGGTTTGCTGTCACCACCCAGCTTTCTGTGAGAGGAGGACCTTCTGTACTGCTAGCGCAAGCGGGATTCAAAGTCACAATTCAAAGTTCAGTTTCTTTCTACTGAATTCGTATCCCTTTGGTACCACCTTAGGGTCAAAAGAGTATAAGGCTGTCCATCCAGAGCTGAGCAGCCTCTGTGTTTGCTCATGCAGTGGTGTAAGCCTTGCCCCTATGGCTGACCCGAAGGTGCCACAGAGAGGTCTCGCAGCACAAAGGTGGAAGACATGTGCACAACGTGGCTCCTGTAAGGCTGTAAGAGTTGTCTTCTCGCACCACTGGCCCTGGCCCCAAGTTTCTGCTTTAAAAGTTTCTGCCCCAGAAATCACATTTCTAGCAAGTTTGCAGTTTATGCAATCTGACTACAAGTTAGGGCCACAGGGGGGAAGTTTTAAAAATGATGCTGAGTCCCAATCTGGAATATATTTTAGTGGGACCCTGGCACCTGTGCTTTTTAAATGCTTCTCATATTCTTAAACCTCTGATCATTTTTTGCCATGGATGCCTGTTCCCTAAGGCATTTGGCTAAGTTTTCAGGGTACCTAGTGGCACACGTGAAGGCTCTGGGCTGGGGGACCATGGGGGTTTGCTGTTTCTGTGCTAATGGTCTTGTTTTGGCTGATTGCATCTCAGACTTATGGGAGCCAGAACCTGAAGTACGTGGGGGTGATCCTGCAGAGGGGCACGCTCATCCTGCTGCTGTGCTGCATCCCGTGCTGGGCACTGTTCCTCAACACCCAGCACATCCTGCTGCTCTTCAGGCAGGATCCAGATGTGTCCAGGTGAGACAGGGTCATCATGGCGGGTTCCGCAGGCATTCCAGCCAAAAGACCAGCATGTAGGCTCAGCCTTTGAGAGTTACACAGCACAGAAATGAGGCCAGACACCAAGCTGGCGGATAAATTCTCCTAGGCTGGCCCCTCCCATCCAGGCCTTAGTGGTTCCTGTATCTGGCTTATAAGATCTGGAACTCTCCTCCTCTGGAGGACTTCCAGGGTAAAGAATTTTGAATAGAATTAGATTTTCAAACTCCTGGTGGACTGAGGACACAGCTCAGAGGTAGAATGCTTGCCCAGCATGCTGAGGCCCTGGGTTTAATCCCCAGCACCAGGAGAAAAAAACAACCATAACAACAAAATAGCTTTGTTAACATCTTCTGTATGTCAATGTAGTTTTTTTATATTTTTCATAGTAATTCCTGACCATGGTTAGTGTTAAAATCATCTGGGTGCTTTATGCCCTACTCCGTATCTCTAGGCCCTCTTCTCTCTTTTAATTCATTGACGGGGAGGGCCTGGATATTAGTAGCTTTCAGAGCCTCTCACATGATTCCAGTGAGCTGCCACATTTGAGACCCATTGTTTAATGGGTTAAAATCTTTAAAATTAAGAAATTCTTGCTCTAAACCAGCAGCTCCAACCCAGAGGTATCTGGCAGCATTTGAAGGCATTTCTGGGTATCACAACTGGTCATGGGCTGCGACACATCCTGCGATGTACAGCACAGTTCCCAATAGTTTTCTGGCCATAGTGCAATGCTGAGAAACCTTGTCCTGCACCCAAAGACTTGGAAAAGCAAGAAAGCAAATTTGGGTTACGTCAAACTCTGTATAAACTTTCTTATTTGCTCTGGTCATTTAAGTCCATCTATTTAGAAAGAGTGGAAAATGCAAAAGGCACCTTCAGTCATTACTTATTTTATTCTGCTTCTCTCTCTGGCGAAAGGCAAACATGGTTTTCATTGTGACCATTAGGGACATAACCAATTTGTCCTTGAAACACTGGGGGTGGGGTAATTCAATTGCAAGAGCCAACTGTCTTAAATTCCCACTGTTGGATGGCCCTTGGGGATCCTCTGGGGAGAAGAGTCCAGACTATTATTTTAGGGTTTAAACCATACCTCAAATAATGATAGAGAGGCCTCCATCATTGATTGTGATTTTTATCTTTTCATTATACAGGCTTACCCATGCCTATGTCATGATCTTCATTCCAGCTCTTCCGGTAAGTTTTGAAGGATTTGCAGGCTCCCTTCTTGGGGTCTGTAGGTAAAAAGTGGCTGTGACACCCCTGAGCCCCATGTCTGGCTCAATCTTACATGATTCACACACATGTATTAGCTTCTTCATGGAAACATGGTTTCAATTGTGACCATTAGGGCCATAACCAATTTGTCCCTCAAACACTAGGGTAGATGATTCATTTTCAAGAGACTAGTGTCTTAAATTGCCACTGCTGGATAACCCTTTGGGGTCATCTGGGGAGATGAGTCCAGACTATGGACCATACCCAGCTCAGAGCTGCTTTGATCTTTAGACTTTTGTGTCTGCTGCAGGGGGCTGGAGGGGTCACATGGAGCTACCAGGGGGTGTTAATGTTTGACACTCAGTCATGTATGGTCAATGAACTACCAAAGCTAAGTCTGCCCAGTTGGAGAGCATAGATGAGTTAGTTTGCTGAGGCTTCTATATCTAAACACCAGAGGCTGATGGGCTTAAGCAACAGAAATGTACTTCTTCACAGCTCTGAAAGCCATACATCTAAGGTCAAGATGTTGGCACAGTTGCTTTCCTCTGTGGTCTCTGCTTGGCTTGCAGGCAGGTATCTGCCCTTTTGCTGCCACGTAACACGGTCATCCTCTTTTTACTCTGAGAAACTCGGTGAAAATTCTGTCTCTGAAACTCGGTCTCAAAGTAAGAAGGGCTGAGAGTGTAGCTCAGTGGTAGAGCACTTGCCTAGCATGTGTGAGGCCCTGGGCTCAGTCTCCAGTACTATAAATGAATGAATGAATAAATCAATGAATGAATGATCAATCAATCAATCAATCTATAAGGCTGAAGCAGAAGAATCACAAATACAAACCTAGTTGGGGCAAATTAGTAACTTAAGTGAGACCCTGTCTCAAAATTAAAAAATAAAAACTCTCAGACTGTGCATGTAACTCAGTGCAAAGACTGGATTCAATCTCCAGTACCACCCACCCTCAAAATTAAAATAATAAGTAAGTGACGAAGTAAAGGCACCAATTCTGTTAGGTTAGGATTCTTTAATTTTAATTTGATCCCGTCTTTAGAGATCTCCCCCCCAAAAAAAAAAAAGAAAAGAAAAGAAAAGAAAAGGACCTCCAAATAGGCACCTGTGTGTGTATTAGGGCTTCAAAGTGTGAATTTGGGAGACATAATTCAGCCCACAGCAATAACCATTTGCCCTTATAACTGGCATTGTGTTCTCTCCCTAAACTAAAGACTTTTTAAAATTTATTTATATGTTTTTGTGGTGCTAGGGATTGAACTCTGGCCCTCACACATTCGAAGCAAACACTCTCCCACTTAGTTACACCCCAGCACTGTCCTTAAATATTTCTAATGTGATATTCTTTGATTGTTCCACCAAATAGGACAGCATCCTGGTTTACAAGTGTGGGTCCTCTGAGTTTTATCTCGAAGTTCCCAGGAAAGTCCTTGCATGTATTGAATAAAGTTACATTTCCACTGGCCAGTGGGGAAGGGGGTTGGGTGGGGAGGGTGGATCACATTCCTCCATAAGGGAGGTGACCACAAATGCCCTGCCCACCCCCACACTTGTGTGGTGCCTCTGTGTCCCTGTGCAGGAGCAAAGGGCAGCCAGGCCTTGGTCATGGCACAAGCCAGCTGTGGCTCCAGTTCACTGATGTGTGTCCGGCCGCACTGTTAACGTTCACCTCTTCCTCTCTTACAGGCAGCCTTTCTTTACATATTACAAGTTAAATACCTGCTCAACCAGGTAATGGGGGTGGTCCTTTTCCCTGGGGGGAACCCTGGGGAGTGGAGGCCCTGCAGACACCCAGGAGTCAGGGAATTGGGGTAGAAGGAGCTCGCCTTCTTAGAGCCACTGAAATATGTTTTCAAGGTTGTATGCACAGGACTTCGACGTGGAGAGGGTCGTTAAGTGATAGGAGGGAGTGAAAGTATTATTTTTGGCTCTGGAAAATTCATATCCAGTTCTTACTTGGAAATATTGTCATTGGCTTTATTAGCGTCAGAGATGCTGTGTTCTTTGGCTCTCTGGAGGGAGGGAGGCAGGCCTGTCTAATCTCCAGAGGGCTGAGGGTTATAGTCACCTGTCAGGTCCCAGAGGGCCATCCTTGTTGCTCAGCTCTTTTTGAAAGCCCTTAGTTTCTCTAGTGGGGACACAAAAGTTCAAATTGTAATGATACCTAGTGTCAGTCAGGACTCTTCCCACATGGCCCAGAGGTCCTGGTGCAGATATATGATTCTAGTGTATGCTGTGGGACATGGGCTGTCCTTCTAGACAAATCCAGCTCAACGCAGGACCAGGCCAAATGTCCTTGCCACACTTTTCAGAATATATACCAGGAAAGGTAAGGAGGGAGTTTCCTACCTACTTCATCATTGTAATTTAGGGGGCTTGCTGGTTAGCTCAGTTGTTTAAGCACCTGCGTGGGCAAACCCAGTCAGGGTTGCAAGACTGTGGTTCAATCCCCAGCTCCACATGCCATACCACACCTGCCACTAAGGCAGCCTGAGCCAGCCTCACCTCCAAAAAAAAAAAAAAAAAAAAAAAAAATTCCTTCTCAACTTTTAGGGCTGGCCAATTAACTCAGCGGATTAAATCACCTGCTTAGGCAGGTGCAGGGGCCAGAAGTTCGATTCCTGGGCCTGCTGTCCTGGCCCTGCCTCTGGGAGTGCGTTGAGACAGCGATTGAAACTGGGCAAGGTGGCGCATGCCTGTAATCCCAGAGCTTGGGAGGCTGTAAACAGGAGGATCACTACGAGTCTGATCTATGCAGTGAGACCCTGTATACCCTGTATACACTGTGCTTAATACAAAAAAAAAATCATTGTAATTTAGGATATTATCATATTAATAAAAATAGCATTGACATACTTTATTGGTGTGTATATTATATACTTGAACTTGACATAGGTGAGAAAAGGAAATTAGCCTTTTTGATTCATCTGGGTTGTGTGGTTTTAGTTGAGAACTTAGCTGGAAGCAGAGAGAGTCCTAAGCATCCTGTAGGGTCTCTTTCTTGGCTATCAGTTATCTAGCAACTTGGTGAACTACCCTCAGGCTCAGGATTGCTAACAGGAGGACCAAAGTGGGGAGGAACCCTTCACATTCTTCATCTCAAGGCCAGGGGAAGGACCTAGAAGTGAAGCACCTTGAGCTGAGAGGGCCCGGGAGGTGGTAACCAGGTGTGGCTTCCGAGGTGAGGTGGGGAGAAGGGCCTTCCAGGTAGTGGAGCAACAGGGCCCTTCACAGGGCTGGGCCGTGCAGAGTGCGCAGGATGCTGCAGTGCGGGTAACACAGTGGGCAGTGCCTGCCACGGTGTGGGGGACACGGTGGGCATTGCCTGCCATGGTGTGGGGGCCACAGTGGACGGTGGCATTAGGATGCTGAGCCTGGTGTGGTGGAGGAGAGCCTAGTGCTCTCTGCTAGAGATTTCAGTTTATAGGAAACAAGCTGATGGGCTGGGCAGAGATGAGAGCTGTGGAAACTGGGGGATGACGCAGGTTCGTGAGGGAGAATCACTGTGGCCGAGCACTAAAAGGTGTGAGAATGGGCTGGTCTTTGTAGGTGGAGATGGCCAGTGGTAGGGGGACCATGGGAGGGGAGGAAGTGGCACTGTAACTCAAATTTTCTGCTGTGGGGGCCTCCTTAGGGAGACAGCTGGCCAGTAACTACATGCAGGACAAAAAGCAGCAGCTGGCTATGTGGAGAAGGTTAACAACCTGAGAATAAGGGCGAAAGAGGATGCAGGAGACCCAGGCAGGCCTTGCCTTTCGGGTGGACAGCTAAAGGCTGCTGGAGTGGAGGGTGGTGGCCCTGTGCGTCCTGGGATCTTCCCTGAAAAGCTTTCCCCTTATCTGCCTCTGGTCTCTATCTCTGTGTGCATGGCTGTCCATCTGTCTCTCTGACTTCCAAACCTCCTTCCTAGCTGTCCTTAGGAGACTGCTGCATGACACATTCCCAGCCAGTACATCTTGCTCCAAACACCTGCTGCTTGCCTCCTGTCTCTCAGTTCAGTGGCCTCCACCACTTTCTGTTCCGGTCACCTGTCCTTTGTAGGCCCATTGGACCTGTGGCTTCGTCTTCATCTCCTATGTTGGTCAGTCTCCTGGTCCTGTAGGTCCTACCTATTCCTCCTTTTTTTTTTTTTGCTGTATCACTACCTGAATTCATCTTCTGTCATTTGTCTTTGGTATCATTTCCTTAGGCTCCTAACTAGTCTCCCTGCTGCCAGCTTTTCCTTGGGTCCATCCTACACCGAGCTGTCTGCCTGAAATGTAAATCTGATCACAGACTCCCTTGCTGAAAACTAAACAGGAACTCTTGCCAAATGAGTGGTCCATGTAAGAGGTCAGCCAAGGCTCATCCTGATATGGACTCGAGTCCTATTTTCCTTTAATCTGTAAAGCTAGACAGGTGTTGTGCATGCCTGTAATGTCAGTACTCTGGAAGGCTGATGCAGGACAATTGCAAGTTCAAGCCCAGCCTGGGCAATTTAGCAATTTAATGAGACCTTATCTCAAAAACAAAAACAAAACAAAAGTGTCTGGAGATGTAACCTAGTGCAAAAGTCCTGGGTTCACTCATCAGTAAAAACAAAACAAACAGAACCCCAAAACTTGCAAAAGATGAATACGGTAAGTGCTCTGGGATTAAGCTCTATGTAGACAGTCCCTATGTCTTGGAGATTCCAAACAGACCAGGTGTTTCTCCTGCCCCTACCTCTCAGAGTTAGCTCTGACAGAGTCTGCTCCACTTCCCAGAAAGGAATGTTGGTTTCACAAGGCCTTCTTAAGCCAGTTTTCTGAATTTCAGTATGGTGGAGATAGCTTTGTGCTTCCATCCACTACCCATCATCATCTGCAGTGTCATCTTTAAACATATTGTCCCTGCCAGCACCCATCCTTGCAGATGAGCCACTTTTCTTCCTTCTCTGCTGCCTTTTATCCTTCCTGTGTCCCTCTGTGGCCTCAGCTCCATACTTCATGCTTGAAAGAGAGGAGGAAGAGGAGGGGAGAGCGAGAAGGTGGGAGCAGTAGGGATGTGGTATCCCCAGTTCACCCCTTGTGCAGGGACACTGGCAGAGCTGGAGCCTGATGCACATCCTTGTAAGTGTGGCCTGCAGTATCTTCTTGTTCCAGGGAATCGTTCTGCCCCAGATTGTGACTGGAATTGCAGCCAACCTTGTCAATGCCTTTGCCAACTATATATTTCTCTATCAGCTACACCTTGGAGTGATGTGAGTCCAGTTTCCTCTTGGGGCAGGGAGGAGGGATGACTTGCATGTGGCTTTTCCAGGGGTGAGAAGAAGAGCACACAATGGGTGGACAGCTCTGTACCTCTCTGACAGGGAGGGAGGCTCTGGGGCACAGGCACCTGTTCTTACAGACACCCTCCTTTCCAGGGGTTCTGCGCTGGCCAATACCATTTCCCAGTTCACCCTGGCTCTTCTCCTCTTTCTCTACATCCTCTGGAGAAAACTGCATAAAGCCACTTGGGGAGGTAAATGCTGCCTCTTCTTTCATCTTGGATGTGGGTCTGCCTGGGGCTGAGCAGCAGTCCCATGGCCCAACACGTTGGAAATGTGTACGTCATGCCTGCAGGCTGGTCCCTCGAGTGCCTGCAGGACTGGGCCTCCTTCCTGCACCTGGCCATCCCCAGCATGTTCATGCTGTGCATTGAGTGGTGGGCCTACGAGATCGGGAGCTTCCTGAGTGGTACGTGTGCGGGCGGTAGGATGACTGAAGGCAACGTGGGGGGCCTGTGCAGAAGCACGGGGTCAGCTGTTTTTGTTTACCAGGTGTCCTCGGCACTGTGGAGCTGGGAGCACAGTCCATCGTGTATGAGCTGGCTGTCATTATGTACATGGTGAGTATCCTGGAGCTGCTGCGTAGATGCACTTGATGTTTTTCTTGCTTGAGCTCTGAGAGAGTCCTGCAGGTGAACACAGGCATTAATGTTGCAAGGAGTAATCTGCAAAATGAGTGACCAAAATAAAATGTCGTCTAGAGCAGGGAGGGTCCTTGTGGTGCGGCTGGCTGTTCCCTGTGAGCTGCAGGCAGGGATGGGCAGAAATTCCCAGGATCTGCTGGTTCTCTGTCTCTAACATAGTTCAAATTTGAAAGAGTTGGTAGTTTTCACACACTTTCTTTCTTTTTTTGCGGAACTGGGGATTGAACTCAGACCCTTGTGCTTGCCAGGCAAGCGCTTATTCTACTAGCCATCTCCCCAGCCCCTTCATACACTTTCATCATCTTCTTCAGTTGTCACTACAGAAAGGTCTTAAGAGGCCAGGTGAAGTGGAACTAGGGTACCATAAGTGCTAAGCTAAGCCTGTCACTGTGCCAGCTCCTCTCCTGTCCTAAAGCCTCTTTGCTACAGGACAGTGGAGCCCCTAAGAGAGCGACTCAAAAGACCGCAGAGCAGCACCTCAAGCAGATGCTTGAATGTAGTGCTCCCAGCTGTGCCACACACAGTGGCCAGAGCCTGGTGGCCTCCGGCATCCACCAGCTCCTAGTGAGCCGTGGATGAGATGTGCGTGCACAATGGGTTGGAGTCAGCCTTGGAAAGGAAGGACATTCCGATGTTGTAGAGAAGAGCTGTAGCTCTTAGAGGCTTTTCTGAGAATTGTTTTACTGGAAACATCAACTAGGAATTCTGAAGGACTCTATAGCAAGCACCATTTCAAAAACAAAACCGAAGATGGGAGCTGGGGCCTACAGCTTGGTAGTGGAGGCCTTGCCTGGCATACTTGAGGCCCGGGGATGTATGCCTACCACTGCAGAACAAAATGAAACAGCAATAAAATCAGAGAGGGGCATTTGAGACATGGAGAGAGAGAGTAAAGCCGGCATATTTTTGGGTTTTTTTGTGGTATTAATGCTTAGATTCTATCATCCATTAGTTATATTTATAATATATAGGTATATATTAAATATATAATATGCATACTATATATATCTTTAAATGTTATATATTTATGATGTTAGGTATATTTAAAACAAGTATTTCCTATTTTCTTTAAGAATCATTCTCTTATGAGCCTGTGCTTTTTCACTTTTTTATTTTTTTGTCTTTTTGAAAAGTGTTTCCCTGTGAAGTCCAGACTGGCCTTGAACTCACTGTGTAGCACAGGCTGGCCTCAAACTAGCAGCCATCTTCCTGCCTCAGCCTCCTGAGTGCTGAGATCATAGCTGTGCACCACCATGCCTAGTGGGACTGTGCTTTTAGTTTTTGTTTTTTTTTTTTTCTATCATTGGTAGAATGTTATAAGCCATATTTCTCAATTTTTATGTTTATTTACATAAAAATTTACATCTCTGCCTTCAGAGACTACATCTAAATCAAAATTTCTAAGTGGAACATTAGTACCCCACTGTGTGTGGTATAGTTTTTTTTTTTTCTTGTGGTATGGGGAATTGAATTGAGGCCCTTGTCCTTGCCAGGCAGACACTTATTCTACTCAGCTATCTCCCTGGCCCCTGGTATAGTTTTAAACTAGCCCCCCATTGTTGAATATTTAATTTCCAGTGTTTCAACATTGGAATTAATACCTTAGTGAGCATATTTGCTGTTTCTTTTTTTCTTTATTGTTTTGTATTTTTTTAGGGAAGGGTCTACAGGGTGTTCAGGGTCTCACTACTAGATCAGACTCATAGTGATCCACCTGTTTACAGCCTCCCAAGAGCTGGGATTACAGGTGTGTACTACGATGCCCAGTCTCAATTGCCAGCTCAGCAAACCCCAGGGGCAGGGCAGGTCCTATAGGCTGGGGATCAAACCCCTGGTCACTTTTTTTTTTTTTTCCTTTTGTGGCACTGGGGATTGAACTCAGGACCTTGCACTTGTTTACGCCATTGAGCTATATTACCAGCCCATACTTTTCCATCTCTAATGACATTTACTTGGTTGCTTAGTTAAGGTGGTACCTGCCAGGTACATGCTTGTCTCTTCCTTTTGTAGTAAGGATGCCATTTGGTGGGAGAGGTCTCTATGTCACTATAGTGAGCTTGCAGGCAGGGAATCAGGCTTCCATTTCTTTCTTTCTTTCTTTCTTTCTTTCTTTCTTTCTTTCTTTCTTTCTTTCTTTCTTTACAGTATCTACAGGGTCTCACTACACAGATTTGACTTATAGTGATCCTCCTGATTTTAGCCTCCCAAACTCTGGGGTTACAGGTGTGCGCCACCATGCCCAGTCTCGATCACCATCTCAGTGCACCCCAGGGGCAGGGCCGACAGCGCATGCTGGGGATCAAACCCAGTCCCTGCGTTCCATTTTGGTTTTTTTATAATCTTCAATCTGTATGTCAGATTTTCTTTTCTTTCTTTCTTTGTTCTCTGTCTCTCTGTCTCTGTCTCTGTCTCTCTCTCTCTCTCTCTCTCTCTCTCTCTCTCTCTCTCTCTCTCGGCACTGGGGATTGAACTCAGGACCTTGCGCTTGCCAGGCAAGTGCTTATCCTACTGAGCTATCTCCCTAGTCCATATGTCAGATTTTCTTTAAACTTGTGCTCAATTCTTCTGACTATAAGGCAACATTCATGTTCAAGTGAATGGTGAAACTTTTTCTTTATTATTCAAGTGGTAAATTTATAGATAATGGGCAAATCTTTATTGAGCATTGCCTAGTGGGAGGCACTTTTGAAGCAGTTGGCACATATAGACTTGGTAAAGCCCACAACAACTTTAGGGGTCGGTCCTGTGAGTAAAGCCTGTTTACAGCTAAAACAGTGGCTGTCCAGAAGGTGAAGTAACTTGTCCAGAGGCACACAGTTGATAAGGATAAGTACTTGTGTCAAAATTGGAACCCAGACTTTTTGACGTGCAAGTGTTCTTTCACGACAGCGCTTGAATGATACGCAGAAATGCCTGGTCTATGATTAGCATCATGACCTGGGATCCAGGTTTCCTATTTGCCCTGGTGGCTCCCGGCTGGACTAAGGGGATAAATTGCAAATGAGTCTTCAGAGCCTGGGGGATCGAGCTTTGCCAGGAAGGTGCTAAGCATGAGGCTGCTCCCTGTGCCACCTTCTCACCCTGCAGTTTTGCTGTTGTAGGTTTCCTTTTCATTTTAGATCCCTACAGGCTTCAGTGTGGCTGTCAACGTCCGGGTAGGAAACGCATTGGGTGCTGGAAACATCGAACAGGCGAAGAAATCCTCGGTGGTTGCCGTGCTGCTCACAGGTGCTGAGAGCCATTTGTATAAGCCTTGTGGTGCATGCAGTCTCCCCATTTCCTCAGACCTTGCTAGTCAGCCGTGCAGTGCTGTGACAAAGTGCCTGAGAAAATCAGTTTAAAGGAGGGAAATCTTATTTTGGCTCATGGTTTCAGTCCATGGTTGCTTGGCCCCACTGCTATGGGCCTGAGGGGAAGCTGCAAACCATGACTGGGAGCTCACTGTGGACCAAAGCTGCTCACCTAATGGCCCGCCAAATAGCTCTGGGGATTAAAGTGCCTACAAGCAGGGGCAGGGGCCAGGGGTTCGGTCCCCAGGCCTGCCGTGCTGGCCCCGCCCCTGGGGAGCGCTGAGATGGCAGTTGAGACTGGGCATGGTGGTGAGTGCCTGTAATCCCAGCTCTTGGGAGGCTGTAAACAGGCGGATCACTATAAGTCCAATCTAGTAGTGAGCCCCTGAACACCCTATAGACCTTCCCTAAAATTAAAAAAAACAAAAAACAAAAAACAAAGCTGCTCAGCCAGGAAGCAGAGAGAGGAGGCGAGGAGCACAGGACACACCCTGCAGAGGCTTGTCCCCAGTGACGTGCTCCTCCAGCTAGCCTCACGTCTCACAGTGTTCACAGCCTCCAAGTAACACTGTTAAAGAGAGGTGAGAACTCTCAGAATCCAGTTGCTTCCCACCAGCCCCGCATCTGAGTTCTGTTGCGCTGGGAGCCAGGCCTTCGCCACATGAGCCTGTGGGGGACATTCGATAGCCAACGATAATATACCTTGTTCACTGAGCCATTTCTCCTGCCCCTGTACTTCCAGAGCTCTTTGCTGCAATCTCTTGTGTCCTGCTGTTAGGCTGTAAGGACGTTGTGGGGTACATTTTCACTACCAACAGGTGAGTTCTGGGATGTTCTGCTTCATTTTCACTTCCTCCTTTTTCTTCTCCTTTTCCCTTTCCCCCTTCTTGATCCTTTCTCCCTTCTTCAGCTTCTTCTCATTTTGCAATGTGGGAGAATTAAACTTGGTGCCTTCACATTGAGCTCATCCTTAGCCTTTTTAAAAAGAATTTTGGGATAGGGCCTTGCTTGGTCACTAAACTGCCGAGGCTGGGCTTGAACTTGCCGTCCTCCTGCCTCAGTGCTGGGATTACAAATGTGGGTCACCATACCTGGCTGAGTGCTGGGATTTTCTTGAAATGTGAAATCTGTGGTATAAAAATGGTTACGGGCTGGGGAGATGGCTCAGTAGATTAAGTGCTTCCCTGGCAAGCGCAAGGGCCTGAGTTCAATCCCGGGTTCTGGGAAAGAAAAAAAAAAAAAAAAAAAAAAAAGGTTAAGGTGAGTAGATGCTGTCATGGGGAAGCCCTGGGACAGCTGCACCTTGGAGGGGTTTCTGGGTCATTCGCAAGATCAGAAGCTCCACGGATGTTGCTTGGGAGGGACAGGTTAGAGGTGGGAACTGATTCGCTATCTCAAAGGCAAATTTGATGGGGCATCAGTAGTGTTGCTGAAGAATTTTTGTGTATGATAAATCCTTTCTGTGCCCTGAGGATAGCTTTTGTTTCTTCCAAGAGGACAGCATCATATTCTGGCTATGTAGAAACAAGAGCCCAGCACACAGGAGGATGAAGCAGGAGGATCACAACTCTAAGGCCAGCCTGAGCTACATAGTGAGAACTTGTCTCAAAAAACAAAACAAAACATGGGCTCAGTTTTTATTTGGAATATCTTTATTAACAATTTTAGAATGCAAAGTGTCATTTTCTTTAGGGATGTAAGAAGCCAGTAGAGTGGAAAGAATTAAGTTTCACAGTTTATTCTTCACTTATTTGTCTTTAGGTGATGGGTGGTTGTTTTTCGGTCTCCGCCATTCTGCTACAGATTTCCCAGCTCAGACTGAGTAGGGAAGGCAGCCCAGAGAGTCCCCATTTTTCAAAGGGAGTTAGAAGGTATCCTGAGCTCCAGGACACAGTGATGTTTCCAATGGGAATGTGGCGGGCGTGTATTACTAATCTACTCACTTTGAACAGGAAGAAAAATGAAAGAAAAAGCCTCACATATTGTATCTTTAATATTAGAGGACGTAGGAAACTAAAGAATCAAATTAGTATCACACACAACATCTTTGGGTCAATGATGGACTGAATATAGGGCAGTCGGCCTATAAGGTTATAATGGGGCTGAAAAAGTCCTGGGCTATCACCTGGTCATGCTGTCGTGTCCACACCCTCACAGTCAGTGCCTCGGGCACATATTTGTGGTGACTCTAGTGTAGCAGCCTGCACTGCCAGTTGTATGAAAGCACAGCATTTGGATTTAGGTACCATGCATGGTAATTGGTACTTACTTATTGTTCATGGTTTAATAGTTGTTTAATTGTTAGTTTAGAATGTTCTCCAACTCATAAAAACCTGTGTGCTGTGAGGTGGTATGTGGTAGTACAGCACCAGCAGCCCCTTACACCTATTTATTGTGTCCCTTATGCTTGATTGGATGTTGTGTTGTGTTGTTCACCACAGCTGTTGAGGCCCTAGGCTGTACAACACACAGATGCATATATACAATATGACTTGGGTGTACAGTAGGCTGCATCATCTGGGTTTGTGTAAGTCACAAAGTACAACATGCAGTTGGTTTCCTCAGTGGATTTGTGTACGTTTGTGTAAGTTCATTCTGTGATCACACTCCAGCTAACCATATGCTGTCACTCAGCACTCTGGTTTCTAAGAGAAACCAGAAAAATCAGTGAAATAACATGAGGCATTGCAGCCTGCGGAGATAGCTTGGTGGTCTGAGCGCCTGCCTGGCAAGCGCAAGGTCCCAAGTTTGATCTTTGGTACCTCATGCCATGCTGGCCCTGGAACTGGGCATGGTGGTGCACACCTATAATCCCAGCGCTGGGGAGGCTGAGGTAGGAGGATCATTACAAGTCTAAACTGTGTAGCAAGACTCTGTATCAAAAATCAAAAATAAAAAAAAAAAAGAAGAAGAAAAGAAATGTTTCTTTTTAAAGAAACACTGCTTCAACTAATTACGGCAGAGGGAGAAGACATCTCTATACCAAGAAGAGGGGAGTACATTACTACAAAGCACAACCAGTTTCTAAAAATCTGGACAGACAAGCTGGGTGCGTTGATGGCACCAATGTATAATTCCAGCAATTTGGAGGAGGAGGCAGAAGGTCAGGAGGACCTCAAATTTGACCCTGTCTCAAAATAAAAAATAAAATAAGATGAGGAGGTACTCAGTGTAGGGTATTCTTGGGATCAGTCCTCAGCATCACACACACACACACACACACACACACACACACACACACACACACTCTTCCAAGAGACCAATTTGCACAAGTTTTTCCAAGGTACTTTTATTTTATTTTTTTTTAGAAGAGTAACAATGGTTAGTACATTGTATATTGTTACTGCCAAAGTAGTTTCTCATATTACAAGATATAGGCAAAAAATAATAAGTAAACAACATAGGTACAAACTTCTGTTTTTTTTTAAAGTCAACAGAAAATGGAAATATACTTTTTAAAGTTTCTAATACTAGGAAAAGATATCATACAATGTCTTTTAAATAAATTGTAAGTCAAAGATACACTATAAATCTTAGAGCAAAAATTAAGATTAAGCAATATTCAGAAAATTAAATGTTTCAAAACAATTGAACTAAGAAAAAGTTTTCATGATAGCAAAGAAGTACTAAGAGTAAAACATAAGATAAATACTGGAATGGCAAGTAAATGAGCAGCACTTCTAACAGTTTGAGGATAGGATATCGCACAAAGTTCTAGTGTGTTGTGGACATGCATAATGACCGTGACAGTTACTGGTGGCTAGGCATCACTTGTGGAACTGAGCTACAGCTATTTCTTTTCCAAGGAACTTTTTAAAAATGGAAAGAAATAGATAACATTTTAGGATCAAAACTTACTTAGAAAAGGTCTAAATAAAGTGATTTCCTTAAAAAGTAAAGTTTTTAAGTGCCCAAGCACCAATTCCAGAGGGTCCTAAAAAAGGATATTATCAAATCATTAATACATACATAGTCATATCCAGCCGGGAATATAGCTCAGTAACACAGCACCTGGCTGGCAAGCACGAGGTTGTGAGTTCAATTCTCAATACCACAAACATACACCAAGTGAATGATCAATAGTTACATCCAAAGACATCTGTTGTAGACAGAGCAAAGGAACAGAAAACTTTCACATTATTTTTATGAAGCAAATGATAGTGGTATGAAAACTGATGAAATTTGCACATAGAAAAGAAAACCACAGACATTCTTGCTCGCATTGACATAAAAATCAAAAATACTGGTAAGGAGATGCAAGTGTGGCTCAGGAGCAGGGTGCCTGCTTACTGTACACCAGGTCCTGGGTTCCATGCCCAGCACTAAAATAAAAATCCAGAACAGAAGGTAGAATACCACGTAGAGAATGCTATGTATGAAGGGTGGAGTGTGGAGGGGAAGTTGAGAATATCCATTCTACTTGCTCAAATATTTCATAAACACTAGACAAATTTCAAAACCAGTAAATATTATTCCCGGGGGACAGGATGGCAGTGAGTTGGCCCAGGACACTGGAGGCGTCAGTGCTTTTCCCTCTCCTTTTCTTATCATTCAATTTCTTTAGCTGTTTGTGCGCATTACCTATACAAAAATTAAATTACCCTTGGAGGGGAAGCAATTATTTTTTTTTTATCATGTTCAGTGCTAGATTACGTATTTATTCATTCACTCAATATTTATTAGCTGGGCACACCCCCATAGTCTCAGCTACCCAGGAGGACGAGGCAGGAGGGTCAAATCCAGCCTGGGCAACTTAATGAAACCCTGTCTCCAAAGAAAACTAAAACATAAAAAGGCTGAGGGTAGAACAATTGCCTAGCATGCACAGAGCTCTGGGATCAAATTCTTTTTCTTTTGTATTTTTTAGGGAAGGGTCTACAGGGTGTTTCGGGTCTCACTACTAGATTGGACTTGTAGCGATCCTCCTGTTTACAGCCTCCCAAGAGCTGGGATTGCAGTTACGCGCTGCCACTCTCAGTCTCAATTGCGGTCTCAGCGTGCCCCAGAGGTGGGGCCGGCATGGCAGGCCTGGGGATTGAACCCCTGGCCCCTGCGCCTGCTTGCAGGCGCTTTAATCCACTGAGCTATTTGGTCAGCCCTCAATCTCTGGTACTGGGAAAAAAATACTGCCAGATATTGATCTAGGTTTACTTGTGACCAATCTACTCAAGAATATAATGAAGTTTTTATCTCCCCAGGTCAGTGCTATAGCTTTGCTCATTTCCCATCACGAGTAAGCATTGAAATCCAAGTGTTTACCATCAGGAGTTAGGGCCCATTTCTAGGTACCAAGGACAATTAATTCTGCAAGAGACTTCTGTGGCCCTCACAGTTTACAGCTGGGTTCCACAGGGAGCACCGCTACCCCCAGCACAGGGGATGAAACTCAGGGCTTCCATCATGCTCAGCCTTCATGGAGAGCACCTTAACTCTTAGTCTGTAATGCTCCATCTGCGGCTGGAACACACTGGCCTGCCCCAAGGGACCAATGTTAAAAGAAGGATGGCAGTATAACCTAAATTTTAATTTGGGGGTAGGGGTTCCTAATATTTAATTGCTCTACAAATAGATCAAACAGACTATGTATTTTTTCTACAAGACATGAAGTACAACATACAGTTGGTTTCCTCTGTGGGTCAAGCAGCTGTAGAAATGTCCCTGTGCTGACTCTTGACCAGAACACATGTCCATGCTGAGGAAGGACAGAAGTGGAGTCCCATTATTGAGAAAATGAATTTTTTCTTTTCCATACATTTGTTCCCGCTAATCATCATGTGCTTTTTTTTTCTGAACAGAGACATCATTGCTCTGGTGGCTCAGGTGGTCCCAATTTATGCCGTGTCCCACCTCTTTGAAGGTCTTGCCGTACGTATTTGCAGAAGTCCCTTCAGCACTTGCATGACCTGTGTTATGTATCTCTCACAATGATGATACATTTCAAGTGGGGAGAGAGCATAGTAGGAGTATTATTATCATGCTCATCTCTGCAGAACACTGTCACTTGGTTATCAATTTTTAAGTTTGAGTACCCTGAAGTGGTAGGTCTGTGATCTGGTGTGTGTGGGGGTCTTTCAGAACCCCAGCAATGCTCACACTGATAGAATGTTACCTGCCTGCAGTGTACAAGTGGTGGCATCCTGAGGGGAACAGGAAACCAGAAGATTGGAGCCATTGTTAACGCCGTTGGGTATTATGTGATTGGTCTTCCCATTGGGATTGCACTGATGTTTGCGACTGAGCTTGGAGTGGTTGGTAAGCTCTCACCATGTTCATGCAGGGTTTGGTTATTCACAGGCTCAATGTTATTCATTGTCAGAGTACATTGAAACTTGACTGTGGAATTCTGGGATTTTCCTACACCCATTCCAGGCAGGGAAGGAACTAGGAGTGGACAGAAATTGTCTTCTGCTCCATCCAGGCCCGTGTTGGGTCATGCCACCCTTGCCTGGCTACACTGATGATCACAATTGAGATTGTCACAATTGAGCACAAAAAATTCCTTTTCTTGTCTTTTCCTGTTGGGTCATTGTACTGATTGATACATTGAGTCAGCATGAGAAATTTAGAAGTTTAATTAAGTGATTCAGCAGAGAGCCAAGAGCCAAGATTCTTGGTTTATAAATATCCTCATCCTGTGCAAGAGCAGGGCATCGAAGTTGTGTGACTTCTATACCCCAGCCCCAGGGTAGCTGGTTTACAGTATAAGGAGAGGAGAGAGGGGAGAAAGGCTGGATAGAAGCTTTAGCTGCTGCCCTTCCCTTTGCTCTTCACTATTTTTCTTTTCTTTCTTTTTTTAAAAGTATTTAGTACAGGGTCTATAATACACAGATCAGCCTCGTAATGATCCTTCTGTTTTCAGCCTCCCAAGCACTGGGATTAGAGGTGCACACCACCATGCCAGTCTCAATCACTGTCTCAGCATGCCCCGGGGGTGGGGCTGAATGGCACACTGGGGATTGAACCCTGGTCCCTGGGTCTGCCTAAGCAGGCATTTTAGTCCACTAAGCTATCTGGCCAGCCCTTCTTCGCTAGTTTTCTGCTGCTATGAACTGCTACTCTCTGCCATGTGCCACTCTGCCTGGGAGCCTGCCAAATATAGACTAAAACCTCCATAACCTGGGAGCTAAATAATCCTTTCCTTCCTTAAATTTGGTTGTTAGGTATTTTGTCCCAGCAACTAGTAAAAAGTAAGTGAGACAAAATTTGGTACCAGGAGTGTGGTTGTTGCTGCGACTCTACTTGACAATGTAGATTATAAACTTTTGGGAATAGTTCATGGAAAGATAAAAAGGTTTAAAAAGGTCCCTTACTAGTAAAGAGCTAAAATACCTTAAGCTGCTCTATATGGGAGACTCTGGTCAGGGCTCAAAAGACCAAAAGACTAATAAAAAGCCTGCCTATAATGATCATGCTAGGGAGGTTTCTGCTGGCAAGAAGGACAGCATTGGTTGTTGGACTGTGGATGATTTGTATTATGGCTTGGCAAAAAGCTTGTCTATATTTTGCTCCTGTCCAGAGACTTTGCCTGAGATTTAGATTAAGGACAGCAGACTAGTTAATCTTGAAAAAAAAACCTCAAGGCAGTCAAATATTGAGGCAGTGGCATGGATTTTTTTTTTTTTTTCCGGAATCAAGGATTGAACTCAG